TGCGGAGGCGGCAGCGTGGGCGACAGATGTGAGAGATCCATCGTCAGGAGTCGACATGATGGAGGAGGAGGAGGAGGAGGAGGAGGGGAAGGTGAAGGATAAAAGGGAGCGGAGGAGAGGAGGCGTAGGTTAGAAGAGTGAGAGATAAGAAGGGTTGGGTCATGGTGGGCCGAAGAGGAGGGAGGGGGCGGCGGGGGTGGTGCTAAAGTGCGCCGAGGGACGTGACGCGTGCAAACGACGCACCTACTCCTCCGCCGCCGTACACGCGCGGTTTAGGTGTATCGCGGGCGTGATTGTCGTAGCCGTGCTATTATTGCGACGCCTTGACGCGCTTTTGCTCATTTTTTTGCGACCTCATACGCCGTCGTTTCGACCGTCTCAAATGCCACGTCATCGTTTTATTCCCAAAACTAAATTTTAAGCAACCTATATAAAAATGTTTGGTACAGGGGTTAAAAATTCATTATCAAGTAATCACGTTTCGCTTCTACATGACATTTTAGTTATAACTATGATGTTTTGACAATAGTAATTTTCTTGGGGGTAAAAAGACAATTGTAATTTAACCTTAAGGCCAAGAAGAAAGCTTGATATTAACTATTAAAAAGCCAAAAAAAAAATCCAATTCCTGCATAAAACAGGAAGCCAATTAAGAAGAAAACCAAAAAGAGAGAAGAATCAAGAACCATCCACATGTATTTCTCGGTCCTTTTTCATTCTCCGGACGACAAAAGACACAGGTTTCTCCAACACGGACACGTTGACGCTGTTCCAGACATCGGGTCTGGTCTGTAGACCCGCGATCTTCTCCGCAACTTCCATGTCCTCCGGAAGAACAGATCCAAAGACCGTGTAGGAGTTCTTCCATTCCGGGTGGTTAGCCAGGCTTACGAAGAATTCCGGTCCTGACCCGACCCAAGCCACCGACCCACGTCCTATGGTCGGGCAATGCTCCTTCGGGATTGGTTTAAACGGGTTTCCTTCCGCTTCGAGAATTCCTTGGATCAGACCAAACGGTGGACCATATGGAGCCTGCAGAATTCACAAAGTGAAGAACTTTCAGGAAAACATTCTAAGCTCGAAATTGCAAGATTCACAATGATCTGGCATGTAAAGCATATAGCTGAGTCATCGATCACGCAGCCGGCCCCCCATATGTTCACACGTTCCTCTCGCAAACTAAACGCTGTATTATTTATTTATTATTACTATTGTTACTACGAAGAATTCCGAACAGATGGGTCCAAAAAATCTCAACTTTATTACAAAAACGAATTCATCTTACCCAAAAAACCAGACTTTAAACCAAAACCCCCCCAAAAAAAAAAATTCCACACCGGAAAAGGGAAAAAACCAGAGCATAATAACCAGAGGGGGGGGGGAAGCAAAGGTAAGCCCTTTTGAATTAATCTCGCAAACCCACGTAAAACGACGAGCTGTTTCCTAATTAGCGGAGGCTATTTAGGGAAAAAGTCACGTAAAGCTTGGGGATTTAGTGAAAAAAAACACAAGGGGAAGAGGCAAGAACTTGTTCCGAGAAAATGGAGAGAGAAAACGCTGATCCAAACCTGATTTTGCGTTTGCAGAGACCCTGTGATTAGAAGGCTCGAGTGTGCACCAGCAGTTACCCATTGTTCCCAAAACAACGCAACAAAAGAAAGAAAAAGAATCGAGCTTTATCAGTTACAACTCATGCCCAGAAGAAAAAACACCCATTTCTCCGCTTCTGGCATCGATTTCTCTTCTGGGTTTTTCTTTTTTTTTAGAAAGAAAGAAAAAAAACAGAGAAGAGATGGGGGGGAAAACGGGTATGGACGATGAAAAAGAGACACAATCAAGGAAGTGTTTTGTTTCTCCTCTAAAGTTCTTCTGCCATCGTGGGAGAGAGAGAGAGAGAGAGAGAGAGAGAGAGAGAGAGAAAGAGAGAGAGAGAGAGAGATTCTTCGTGGCAATGATGGGCACAGAGGGATGAGGTGGGAGAAAGAGGTCTTTAGCTATGGCGGAAATGGGCCCACCTACATTTCTCTTTTTCCCACTCACAAGAGAAAGACAGCAAATTATGGCAATACAAAAATAAAACGGACAATAAAACTCCAAAAAAAAAACATGAATATGTTCGGTCCGGTTAGGTTTTTGGATGGCCGTACGTATAACCGAACGAATTTTCGTTAGGTATCCTTTGACGACGATGGTGATAATAATAACAACAAGACTATAACTTATAGTAATCATATTTAATCCTTCAAAATCTAATTTGTATCAGTTGGGAAAAAACAAGTAATTCAATGGGTTTTTTTTTTCAATCTTTATATATTTTAATATTTTTTATTTGAGTTTTTATTTTGGGGGGTTGGGATTTGATAGTGCGCATGAATGAATGTATGATGCGCATTTTGATGCCACGGCTCTTTGCCTTTTTGTTTTCTTTTTTTTCCGCGATCGCTTTCTCTCACCTTAGCGTGCGCCTTTGGCTTTCCTCTTTCTCCAAAAAAAAAAATTTGTTCACACTCATTTAAAATGGATCAAATACTGTAATATTTGCAGCAAGTTGATATGGTTAAATAGTGTTTTATGTTTTGATGTTTTGGTCGGGTTATCTTATAGTGTTTTTATTTTATAAGTTTATAATTTTTTTTATTCAGTTCGATTTTATTTGAATTTTCATTTTATTAAAAAGATAATTTTTTAAATTTATGTTTTTATATTTGATTCGGGTTGCAATTGAATTCGAATAAATAAATTTCGAATAAAACTGATTTTTTAAATTTTAATATAATTAAATTTCAATTTGATTCAATGTTTAGACTCAAATATTTTATAATTAATTTTTTTTTATCGGATATGCTAATACTCATATCCCACTTATGTGTATATATATACATATACATATACATATAATATATATATATATATATATATATATATATATATATTAAGAGGTAATGGAGAAATATGGAGGGTAAAAAATATATCGCACATATTAGCTCATAAAGGATCTACCGATCTAAGACAATTCAAATGAAGCGATGGTCCAAAAACTTTATCCCCTAAACTTTCCAAGATAAAATAATAAATAATAAACATATATATATACATATTTTAAAGTATAGTGCATATTACATCTGAATTTAATTTGACCTAATGGACACAATATCTAAACATTAAATAAATATATATTTATCTTCTTTTCTATCTTTTATCCTTCTTTTATTCTTATATATCCATCCTTTTTTGAGAAAAGACAAAACAAAATACCTCAAATTCCTTGTAATGAAAGGATAGAATTAAACATTATTGAAGATTTCCAACTAATATCCAATAAGAAGAAATTGTCATAGCCACCTTACCTACCACTAGTATTATATGCACATAATATACCCTTTTAATTGTATATGATTAACATATTGAATCCTTTTCGACCGCACAAAACATTTCACTACAAATTCCCATGAACGGGAAATAGATATTAACGCTATTTTTTTAGATATATAGATAGATTTAAACCATATTATATAATATGTATATATATATATATATTGAGTTCCATAATAGAAGCTATAATATCTACTTCAAACAGTTTAGATATACGTAGAATATTTGAATAATTGTGATAGTTCTGAACGTATGTTTTTAATATAATAGTAATATAAAATGAATATGTATATATATATATATATATATATATATATATATATATATGTGGGATAATTCAATATTAGATTTTGAAAAATGTTTCAAAAGCAAGTCAATAGAGTCCGTAAAAGTCATACATAGTCAGAGTCGTCGGCAGGTTAACACACAACACTTTCATGTCGGGTCATGTTATCATTTTTCTCTCACGTTACATGGATCACTTCGTTACTCTGTCTTGTAATAAATTTACATTCCACAGAATTCATCTGTATCTAAATAAGAAACGCGTTTTCAACATAATATTCTCTCTTAAGAAGATTAAATTTTTAGAAGCCGAATTATCACTTAAAAAAAGAAAGTAATAAATGAATAGATTTGATATATCTACGCTGTATATATATATATATAATATTGAATGATGATCCTTGTTTATGGATTTTTAATCCGAAAAATCATGCAAAGCGTTTGAGTAGACTAATCTTCAAAAGTTTAGGGATGAATTGTGTGTTACGTTTAGGTATAATGGTTGATGAGATATTACGAAAATAAAGAATGATTTTGGGTGTGATATGTGATAAATATTTCAATATAACTAGATTTGATAGTAGGTTACAGAATGAAATCATTAACATAAACACACACACACACACAATATATATATATATATAGAGAGAGAGAGAGAGAGAGGGTGTAAGAGTTGGGGTGTTGATTGTTTTTATGAGTAAAGCTCAAGTTAAATGGAAAAAATTACACATTAAAATGCAAGAAACCAAAAGATGGCAACTTGTTTCAGTTCAAGAGAAAGAGACAGAGAAACAGATCATACCCAACTTAATTTGCTGCATTTACTTTTATAACTCTTACCATATACTCTCCCAAAATAGCTTACTTCATATGTGTATATATATATATATATGTATATATTGAGTTCAGTCGACCGACCATTTCATTTCATTTCATCGAATACAGAGTTTAAACACGTTAAAGATATCTATAACTTATGTCTCACCGGGTTCCTTGCACGGTTTATCAGGACCAAACACATAGTATCCATGAAATCTGCATGATTTTACTGCAGAAAATGCCCTAACCGAAGAAGAACAGAAAGACCCTCAATTTCAAATGCGCATAATGCAGAGTCGAAATGGATGGCATATCAAAAGTCGAAGTCTTTTTTCGTATGGTTGGAGTTGGAGAGGGAGAGATCATTAATGGTGTAAGATTACAAGCTTGCGGAAAAGGCGAAAACTTGCTTCGAAAGTCTAGGCTTTGCGGAAAAAAATTACAAAACCGATGGAAACCCGTGATTAAACAGCGTTTTTTCACTTGATTCACGCAGAAATTTCGGCAAAACAATGATCCGATCTAGGTAAAAATGTTGTGTTTCTAGGTCATATAGTCACTGTCTGTCTTTACAGGTTGGTTTTATTCCTTTTGAGCCTTCAAGGTTGGTCCCTTGAGAGTGGTTTTTGGGCAGTTCTTTAAATTTCGTAAGCTACTATTGATAAGCCCTATCACTGTGTTATACATATATACATATATATGTATGTATGTAGCTTGAAAGGCGTGTAAAATATAACCTTAGACTAGAAAAAGGTCTAATCTCTAAGGCATGACTACTCTCCTGCATGTAGACCAAATTTCCAATGTTTCATGTATCCTAAAAGATTATATATCATAAAAGAGAATGATGATGAGACTTGCATGCCTATGGATTCTATATATATATCGATGAAAGCCTCCGGTTTAGTCTGTATCAACAATGTCGGTTCATAAACTCGTTCGATTTCTCGGATGCATCTCTCTTTCTCTTGCAATAATACTTCATTCCGTTGGAGAAGCATCAACTTCTCATGTAAAATATCAATCCACGATCCATGATAAATCTTAAATATACAAATCTTCATTCGCAAAATCGTGATTCATTTGGTATATTTTCTTGGTATCTTGCAGGTATACATTGTCTATCTAGGGGCTAATCGGCTAAACAGTTCAGTCTTAGCTTCAAATCACCATCTTCGTCTCCTTTCTAGGGTTTTCACAAGGTTTTTTTCCTCGAAAACTTCATTTTTTTTTTCCGGGGTTTCGCCCCTTATAACGATATGAATCTCGGGTTTTCTTTCTGATATAGCAATGAAGAAGCTGAAGGGGCAACGTTGTATAGCTACAACTATGGCTTCTCGGGTTTCTCTGCAAAGATTAACTCAACGCAGGCTGCTTCATTAGCAAGTAATAGTTCCCCCCCTCCACATTCATATCTCCTCAAAAGCGGCGGGAAAATTCACCGATAACCGACCATCCGGTTTGGTTTTATTCGTAACTAGCCATATACATACCGACCGAATCATAATTTTGTTAGATGAATCACGTGACTGGATTTTGTTTTGTATTTTGATGTATTGAGAATCAGAGTCCAGAGATCATAAATATTAACGGGAATCATAGAGAATATAATCTTAACCGGGAATTCCGGTTTATATTGTTGTATTCCGAATTATTTACGAACTAAACCGATCTGGTTAACCGTAAAGAGAATTTGCAGAAATGAAGCAGGTTATAACGGTCTTCAAGAGCAAAACCTTGAAATTGCATACAACCAGAAGTTGGGATTTCTTGGATCTCACTCTACGCAATGACGGCGGTAGAGCTCCGCCGCAACTCTCCTATGGCTCCGACGTCGTCGTCGGAATCTTCGACACAGGTTCTCTCTCTCTCTCCATCACATTTCGAGCGATTAGCATGTAATCACAATCGTTTTGGTTCAATTAGGGATTTGGCCGGAATCGGAGAGTTTCAAAGAATCGCCTGAGGCGAAACCCATCCCGCCGTCGTGGAACGGAGAATGTGTCGCCGGAGAAAGCTTCGATCCGTCCGTACACTGCAATCGGAAGCTCATCGGGGCACGATTTTACCTCAGAGGTTTCCAGGAGGTGTATGGGCCAATCAACCCGGCCCGGGATCCGGAATACCGATCGCCGCGCGATTTCCTCGGCCACGGCACTCACACGGCGTCCACCGCCGTCGGATCCGTAGCCTCCGACATATCAGGCTTTTTCGGCCTCGGCGGAGGAACCGCCCGCGGCGGCGCACCGGAGGCGAGGCTGGCCGTTTACAAGACGTGCTGGGCGAAGGATCTGGAAGGGGTCTGTACGGAGGCTGACATCTTGGCGGCTTTCGATGATGCTATCCACGATGGCGTCGGCGTGATCTCGGCGTCGTTCGGATCGCCACCACCGTTGGCACCCTTTTTCGAGTCGAGCACCGACATTGGGTCGTTTCACGCCGTGGAGAGGGGAGTTAGTGTGGTTTTCTCCTGTGGAAACGGGGGACCTAGTCCCGGCGTCGTTCAGAACGTCGCTCCTTGGGCAATTTCAGTTGCAGCTTCAACGGTGGATCGGCGGTTTCCCACCGGAATTATAATCGACGAGAAATTCATTCTCACGGTACCGATTTCATTCGTTAATCTTAGAGTTGTAGAGATCAAATTCGATGCTTTCTATCCGATCAAAGCATGAACTTTTTTGCATTCCAAAATTCTAAAAACAGAACCGTCGGATTCGACAATATTGCAGGGTGAAAGCTTGGTTTTTCAGGATATCATAGGCAAATTAGCTGATGCAACAACATATTTCAATGACGGGTATGCATCTTCACATCGATATATTTATGTATTTACACACGAGAAATCACAGCCGATATGTACGAAAACCATGTGTCATATGAATTTCTTTTGTAAAACTGTTTCCAAATCCATGTCCTTGTCTGATATTGTTTACTATTCCAGTAGGCAATTGCTTGAATACATGACATTTCGTACATTTTGGAGGTGAAATTGCTACTCTGTAAAATGATCAATGTGCTCTATGAACTGTTATAGGATTTGCAAATGGGAGAATTGGATGAAGAAATCAGCCAGTGGGATGATAATTTTGTGTTTCTCCACGTTGGGTCCGGTGGAGTTCATTGAAGAAGCACAAGTCGCAGCCATAAGGGCAAATGCATCTGCTCTGATTTTCGCCGACTTACCCACCAAACAACTTGCCGAAGAAGTAGACATAATCCCTACTGTTCGTATTAACATTCTTGGCGGGACGAGGATCCGAAATTACCTTGCTCGATCTCCTACGTATACAAGATTTAACATTTTTGTCGGTTTTAACATGCTAAGCTTATTAACAGTCTCTGAAACCATTTTGTCGGACTCTTTCTGTAAATTGCAGACCACCTATGGTGAAAATCAGACGGAGCAAAACTGTTATCGGAAAGATTACAGCTCCTTCCGTTGCATATTTTTCTTCGAGAGGACCTAGCTCACTATCACCTGATATTCTCAAGGTATTGCGATTATGTACCTTAGTAGTTAAATTCTGATATCGGGTTCTGAAAACCGTTTTTTCGACTCACCAGTAAAGAAACCTTCGCAATTTATAGTTATTTTTTTTTTGTATGTAGCCGGATATTACAGCACCAGGCATTGGAATATTAGCTGCTTGGCCTTCTAAAACTCCTCCGACTCCGTTCTCTGGGGACATACGTTCTGTCAACTGGAACTTTCAGTCAGGAACTTCCATGTCATGCCCTCATGTTGCCGGAGTTATAGCCCTTCTCCGGTCAGCTCATCCCGACTGGTCGCCTGCCGCTCTCAGGAGCGCTCTGATGACCACAGGTACCGTTTTCCTACGCATTCAGCTCTTATCGGAAATATCATGTTCTGTAATTATGAATCAGAGTTTGATACAAAAATCTTCTTTCCATTTCCAAGCTTACACAAGAGACACGAGCAGTGCTCATATTCTCTCCGGTGGATCGTTAAAGTCCTCCGACTCGTTTGATGTCGGAGCCGGACATATAAACCCTCTGAAAGCTCTGGACCCAGGTCTGGTTTTCGACACAAGAACCGAAGACTACATTCTCTTCTTATGCAACATCGGTTATACGGACCAACAAATCAAATCCATTATTCTCCCTCGCCCCAAAACCGGTTCATTTTCATGCCCCGTGACGCATTCGTACCAAACCAACGCAGATTTCAACTACCCGTCCATTACCGTACCGAACCTCCAGTTCACTACCACAATAAGACGGACGGTGCGTAACGTCGGTCCGAACAAGAATGCGGTTTATTTCGTGGATATTATAAGACCGGAGGGTGTGGACGTCCTGATATGGCCGAAGATTTTGATGTTTTCTCGTTGTCGAGAAGAAAACCCATTTTACGTTACGTTCGTACCGAAGAAGATTTCGACCGGTCGGTATGAATTTGGAGAGATAATATGGACCGATTGGGTTCATAGGGTGCGAAGCCCATTGGTTGTGTTTGTGAACAACGGCGAAAATAGAAATAGTTTGGAAGATCATGTACATTTGGATTCGCGTCGAGAGTACTTGTGATTTTGTGTTTTATTGTAAGGAATGAAGTGTGAGAGCTCAAGAGTCGAGTGAAAACTAGGGTTCATATGGGATGACGAGATTCTGACCGGAGCAGTCAACGGTCCACTTCATCGCCATTTTCAGAATCAACGAAGGTCAAGGGGTTTGAAAGTAATATTGTTTTGGATCGGTCGTTCTGTTTATTGTTTGGGTTTGTATCAAATGATCATCTCTGTCTAGGGATTCTGGTTTATGTAAATGCTTTCGTTATGTTTTTCTGCTGCGTTGCTTAGGGTTTGATTGGTTCCGGTGTTATTCACAATACTATGTTGTTTATAATCCATTGTTTTGTTTTTGTTTCACTTCCGGAAAAATCCATTGAGCTTGAAGTTGCTGTTTCAAAGTTTCATGTTTTTTCGTGCTATTTCGGTTTTTGACAGCAATATCTCTAGAAGCAGAAAGTTTGAGAGTTGAAGGAGAAGGTTTAGATGATGGACAGGATCAGCCAGTTGCCTGACGCTTTGCTCTTGAGGATACTGTCAACAGTTCCAGCAAAAGATGTCGTGGCCACGAGGCTTTTGTCGAGACGATGGGAGTCTCTTTGGAAGATGGTGCCGGAACTTCAGTATGATGATAGCTCTCACACTTATGAATACTGGAGGTTTTCGAGATTTGTTGACAGATCTTTGCTACTGAATGAGGCTCCAGTCCTTGAAAGTTTGCAGCTCAAACTCGGGCCGAAATGTGGAGCCGTTGATGTTGGAATATGGGTTAAGCTTGCAGTTGATCGCCGTGTGAGTAAGATGACAATCCATTATTCTTCCACCGAAAGGCCTATCAAATTGCCGATGAGCCTATATACATGTGACTCGCTTATGGTCTTGGTGCTAAATAATGGGATTCTTGTCGATGTTCCTGATCTGGTTTGTTTCCCATCGCTTAAAATTCTGCATCTTGATTTTGTGAAGTACGCCGGGGATGAATCTGTCTTGCGGTTTTTATCCAATTGTCCCGTTCTTGAAGATCTTGTTGTCAAAAGGTGTCATAATGATAATGTGACCACTTTCGTGGTTACAGTACCTACCTTACAGAGATTATATGTATACAGAACATCAGAAAAGGTCCAAGATGGAGATGATCTCACGTTTTCCATAAATGCTCCTTCTGTGAAACACTTTGGCATTACAGATTATCATGATATCTCTAGTTTGGCTGAGAATATGCCTGTGGTGGAAGAGGCGAATATCGATGTTACTTATAGCAACACCGAGAAGCTTCTGGGATCTCTTACTTCAGTCAAGTGCCTTTCATTGTGTTTAAACACTTCAAAGGTAATTTGGCATTCTAAATCTGAGTTTATACCGTTACTTGGCAGCAAATATATCAAATATGTGAACCAATGGAAATGGAAAAATGTGATCCAAAATGAAAAAGCTGTTTTTTTTTGTGATTTAATATTTTTTCTGGCATTACATCGCTCGCGCTCACGCTTTCTCATGCAGGCTGCGTATCCTACTGGTAGTATCTTCTATCGGCTTGTGTATTTGGAACTATGTACATGTGTTTCAGAGTGGATGAATCTACTAATGCTTCTGCTCAAAGATTGCCCTAACCTACGAGTTCTCAAGCTAGATGAGGTACATTTACCCTTACTTGAAAGATATCACCTCCATGATCAGGTTGTTTTTCTTGTATTATTTCCAATTTGACGATCTAATGCAGTGTGAATCCATCGTGTTGATCTCAGAGACACACTCCTGATACTGATGAACCCCGGCCTTCCTGGAATCAGCCGAGTTCTGTTCCCGAGTGTTTGTTGTTCCATCTTGAAAATTTTGAGTTCCAAAGATATGGAGGGAATCAAGAAGAAAAAGAACTTGTGATATATATCTTAAAGAACGCAAATCGTTTAAAGATGGCGAGTATCTCCCCAAAATCTACAGATTTGGAAGAGAAATTCCGGATGATCAAGGAGTTGGCATTGTCATCGAGGGGGTCCACGGAATGTGAGCTCGTGTTTGAATGAGATCGTATAGTCTGTCCAAGCTCTTACACACCGTTTAAATTCGGGATATGATCAAAGGAGTTGGCATTGTTATGCTGCAGGGAGGGCTCAAGAACGAAGTAACTGTTTTCTTTTTTAAAATTTTGTGCACGAGGCTTCTTCAATTTTCAATGACATTATGTGGGTGCTTAAAAAACTGTCTTTGCAATCTGATATCTTTTGCATCTGTCTTTTATACCATACAGAAGAAAGAAAGAAAAGGATGAAACTTTATTTGATATTTCAGAGATATATGTATATGGATGGATAACAAAGATATACATATAAATAATAAAGTTGCGCATTCTTAATGATGTGCAGAATCATAATCAGAATCATCAGGAGGAGGCAAAGGGTTGCAACGACAGACTTGAGCCTCGAGGTCACAGGAACCGCCCTGAGGACTACAAAAGTCTGTGCATTTGGAGTTGGCGATACACCGGACAGGTCCAAAGGGCTTGTTGGGATCTCCGGTCGGACCACACACGCATGTCCCGTCTGCTGTATGGCATATCCCCATCCCATTGCATACGAAATTGCAATCCTCAGGGCCGACGCATTGCGGTTTCGGAGGAGGCAACTCCTTCCCTGCCTTCCCTACCCCTGCAGAAGCATTTCATTCACCCGGTACGATCTTTATACCATTAGAATTTTCGATATTTTGAACCATTGTTCAGTTTTACGAAGACGGACATCATACCGGATGATAGTAAGAAGATAACTGCAAACATAGCCATGTAGGGAGTGATCTTAGCCATGGTTGCTGGACAGGTTTGTGCTTCTCTTCTCTTCTCTTTGTTTTTTTTTGTCTCTCCTTCTACCTTGTTTTCTTTTTATTATATAGTGGATTGGATGATTCGTGATTTGTTTTGAAGGTGTGTTATTTTGGCACAGAATCTACAAAATCTTGCCCACATTCATTTGGCACTTCATATTAAGATATGATATATTGTGTTTTCCCAAATAAGAAGAATTTTGGACAGAAACTGGGATTTGTTTCTGTTTTTTAAACATGGTTTATTTTTTTTTACCAAAACAGAGACATATATTTCCAGCTTTTTTATTTAAGGACAATAACCTAAAAGACTTTTAAAAATTGTCATAGCTGATTTAGATCTATGACAATATTTACAAAGTTTATATATTTTGATATATATTTTTAAAGCTATCGTGCCTTTGATTTACTCGTTGATAACAGTGAGGGAACGATGTGAAAATTTCAGGGGCACCAACAAGCCCCTCTCAGAAGGTCGCAGAAAGCTCCCTCATCGGTTCCGCAGCCCTTGCAGTCACCGTCCCGGCCGCAGGGTGGACCGCTGTTGATGGTGGCCGCCCCTTTCAATGGCAATGGCAATGGCCGGCATACACATTTCTTCTGATGGATGTTACAGTATCCCCCATGCCTGCATCCTGTTATACACTCGTCATGCCCTTTGCATTCCCTGTTTTTCCGCATTCCTTCTGAGATTGTCGCTGCACCGATCAAAACAACAGCAGAGATTGAGAAAGTCAGACCCTTTTTTATTCGTTTGATCGAATGTCTCCCTAGTGAATTGTAGCAGAAGAAAAAGTTCACAGATTTAGGAGTTTAATCGGCCATTAGTCAACCCTAATACTTTTTGTTTTGTAGAGGGTTTATGACAAGTGCATGAAGGTGGGTTCAAACCAGAGACAAGTAGGAAGGTGAGTGCAAAGAGAACAAGGTGGAACCCAGTCTTAGCCATGGAAATTGGAAACTGTCCCTTCCACACTTCCTGCGTCTTGTTTTGGTTTTTTGTATAGAAGCAGAATTCAAAGGTTTACAAATATATATATAGCCGAAGAAAATGGCTCATGGAAGAGGTGTGTTGAGGTATTCCTGGGAAGAAAATGGCTCCAATTCAACAGACTTTCTCCTGATTCTCATTTTTTTGTAAATGAATTTTAATTGGTAGGATTTTAATTATATTATCAGTTTGCTCTGAATTTATACAGGTACGATAATACCCTTCTGAAAATCTTAAACGAAAATCAGATTTTAGGTTAAAAATTAACATTATTGAAACCCGCATGAAAATCAATTCATTGAGACATTGGTGCAGCCGTTGAGGGTCACTCGGGCACGATTCCAGAAGTTGGATAATTGGATTTTAGTTGCTTTAACTTTAATCTTGAATGCTACGTTCCATTAGCATGTTCAAGTCCACCGCCGTTCGTCGATCAGATATTTTCGTAAAAAACCCAAAAAAGAAAAAGAAAAAAAGGCACAGAGAAAAAACAAAAGGGGCCTCAGAGATCTTGGTGGATAAAGAATCATCAGGCGAAGAACCACACATAGGGAGTTCTCCGTCAAGAGTAGCAAATATCTTTTCTTGCATCACCAGCCCCCAACACTCGCGATTCCAAACCAAATTTTCAAAAACACGAAAACAAATCGAGAGATCGCATGTGGATGAGTCAGAAGTAGCTGGTTATGTGATCACTTTTTCCCCGAAGGAAATCACTGGGAATCCGAATGATTCGTTTCGTCATTCATCACCACATCATGCTTTCATCGTCTGCAGATTTTGAATTCGCGAAAAAGGTACCGACATTCATAGGGAAAAAAACTGATGTTGAATTCGAGAGAGAGACACAAACGGGATAGCAGATGTATCTGCCGCGTCACCGACGATCCGTGGTAAAAAAAAGGATAATCGGAGCTTTAACGGCAGAGCAAGCTCACTGAGGTAAGTAAGCCCGCCAGAATTCCCTCTCGCCTAATGATAGATTCCTTGACCTAATTTCGAAATGATATGATCGAAGAAATTGCAAATTAGGCTTTGATTCTGAGATTCCTCGAATCCAACACCACAAAACCACAAACAAAAAGAAAGGATAACAAAAACTGGAAACGAAGGAAGAACGCAGAAGGAAGAACGCAGAAGGAAGAACGCAGAAGGAAGTGACGCTGCAGGAAGCTTGGATAGCCATAGAAGAGAAGTTTCAGTATATATAGAGAAGAAATGGTCGGCGACAAGGCCAAAACCCTAAAACCGAATATCCATTGAACATGAAATGGGCCACCGTATTGGAATGTGGGCTATTATTGGGCCTAAAAATCTCTGTTTTAACCCAAAATTAACCAACACTCTCATAACGTAAGTGATTCAAAATAATGCCACGTGGCCCATGCAGGTTTCGAACCTGCGACCTTCGCGTTATTAGCACGACGCTCTAACCAACTGAGCTAATGGGCCTGTGCTCTTGTGCGAAGAACATATTAATTCAGCCTTAAAAGTAAAATACCTTCTATTTTGAAATAAATAAAGAAGATATATCACAAGATTAATTATGAGGACAAAGACAAACCCATAAATTTTTTTTTTTTCTCTAGAAAAGAAAAGGAATACGTGAGAAGCGCCTAACAAATTCGAATTCGAAAATATAAGAGAGAGAGTGAGAGTGATATAGGATTCCCCGAGAAGAGAGCTCCTGTCGTCATCCTCCGCCGTAACAATGAAATCTTGTGCCCGGAGACCTCTCCAGCCGCTAAACGGTCTTCAACAGTTCAGACCAGTAGGAATCAAGCCAAAGCATGAGCCGGAGAAGAACAAGGAGAACCATCCCTTCGACACGTCCCTGGCCGAGGAGCTCGGCGCCTTCAAGAAGAAGCTGCAGCGGCTGAGAGAAGACCATCACAGCACGGAGCAGTTGCTGAGTCAGCGAGATCGAGCCATGGATCTCCACATGAAGCACCTCCTTGAGAGAGGCGACTTCCAAAAGAAGCTCGAGATCGGGGTTCTAACCAACTGAGCTAATAGGCCATTTGGAAGCTTGATTTTTGGAATCATAGATATTTTTTAATAAATAAATTAAACAGAATCGTATACAAAATTTCAAGGATAAGATTTAGATTTTAGATTGGTGAAATTTTTAGGAGGACAAGTGTTTCCAACGGCTAAATTTAGTTTGAGGAAGCATTCAATGGCTAATTTTCTCTTAATTATAGTCATTAACATCCAAAGCACGTTGAGAGAAGGTCGAAAACCAAAGCACCTTGGCTAAGTTCGGTTTAATGGATTAAACCGACTGAATCTCCTTTTTCGGGTCGGACTGGTTTGGCATTCAAAACTGCGTCGTTTTCGGAACTCTGAATCCCTCCATGTTCGTCGTCCTCTTTCTCGCTCTTGCACACAAAAACACACTGCGCTCCAATCTTCTCTGCCAAATCTGTGCTCCGATCTTCTCCGGTCTCGATCTCGAAGAAGATGAGAGTAGCATCTTCGTCTATCACCGTCTCTTTGCAACTTGCTTTTCTCCTGCTCATCGCTTCCGTTTGTAGATCGAATTCGTCGCCGGCGGTCGATCCGTTTTATGGCATTTCCCCTCAAGGTCTCATCCTCCTCTTATTTTGCTTGGATTATGCAAACGATGCTCTGCCTCAGTTTTTTTTTTTTTCGAAATCTTCGCCGTTTTCGTTTTCGCCCCTTCCGGCACTTATTGATCGGATGCCGCCTTGTGTTTTGTAGATGAGAAGTATTACAAGTCGTCTTCGGAGATAAAGTGTAAAGATGGATCGAATAAATTCACGAAAGCTCAGCTCAATGACGACTTTTGTGATTGTCTGGATGGGACTGACGAGCCAGGTTCCTTTCATCCTCCACATTTTGTATGTCTGGTCGGTCTAGTTCTGGTTACTTAAAAGTAGATTGTATACTTTGATCAGATATTCGTGAATTGAACAAAAAATTGCGTAGCTTTAAGGTATCCCGGTTCGCACGATCGATTTCTCTGCATTTTGGGTTTACCCCAACAGCATTCTACGATCATTGCTGAGTAATATTGTCTCAATCAAACGTTTGGCTTTCTCCGTTTGAATATCGTAGGCATTCCTCATCTTTCCTAACCTACGTTCTCTAGTGTTACACTGTTTAGCGGATTACTGCATTTGTGCTAGTTTCTAGTTGGTCTGTATAAGAAAAGCCTTTGTCTTTTTAGTATTTTTTTCCTAGTTGGTATGCAAATCTGAGCGCTGAAGGAATGGATCCTACATCTGCTAACTCTGCAATATGTATTAAATTGCAGGTACCTCAGCATGCCCAAATGGAAAATTCTATTGCCGGAACGCAGGCCACTCCCCCCTGATTTTATTTTCTTCCAGAGTCAATGATGGTATTTGTGGTATGTTACTTGTCGCCTATGATTCTGACATATGTATCATTTCTTGAACTTTTCATATCATAAACTTGCAAATGGCATGCGAAAGAGAGGATTTTTGAAGGATCAGAAGTCTGGTAGTTATGATTATAATGCGTTGCTTGTCGACAATGAGCAGATTGTTGTGATGGAAGTGATGAGTATGATGGTAAACTGAAATGCCCAAATACATGCTGGGAGGCGGGAAAAGCTGCTAGAGAAAGGTTGAAGAAAAAAATTGCCACATATAGTGAAGGGCTGGTTTTAAGGAAACAGGAAATTGACCAGGCAAAGGCAGGTCTGGTGAAGGACGAAGCAGAATTGAAGAAGCTTAGAAGCGACGAGAAAATTTTGAAAGCCCTTGTTCAACAACTTAAAGGTTTTAAATTTTTCTACTCAATACATATTCCTGTCAATCTTCAAGCTGATTACGCAAATTTTCTTATAGATGTCATTGCAACTGACACATGATGGGATGATGGGTTAACTGTAGCTTTAATGGAAACTGGGAATGCTGTATTTGAACTATTATTGGATGCTTGTTATGCCTTTGAAAAGTTTTGTGTTCAGCGAAGATGTCGGTCTCCTAGATTTTTCCCCTACCATCTGAAGGAAAACAAAAAGAAAGGACGAGAAATGACCAGTAGTTAACATAGTGATAGTAAATCCTAATATAGTGTCAAATATCTGTTCTGTTTTCTGCCTTCTCTTGCTCTGCCGGCCAGGGATGATAAACAGACAGATGTATCTTGAACATTGTCGGTCTTGTGGATAAGGCATTTACTGAATTTTCCTTTGGTTTACTTGCTCTGTAGAGCATAAAGAACAAATTGAGAAGGCAGAGGAGAAGGAACGTCTCCAGAAAGAAACTGAGGAGAAGGAAAGAAAAGAAGCCGAATTAGCAGCCCAGAAAAAAAAGGAGGATGCTGAGGAGAAAAAAGATAACAATGAAAAGGTTGATGAAAGCACTGATGAAGAAAAGATGCCAGGAGGATTGCATGATGATGGAAAGCCCTCCGAAAAATCAAATGACGGTGAGATTGGTAATGTCAAGGATTCTCCTCCAGATGAGGTTAGATTCTCCCCTTGTAACCTGAAATAGATTTGCAAGTTTGCCTCTAAGGTAGTTTTTTCCTTGGTAAACCGAAACAGGTTTACAAGTTTGTTTCTAAGTTAGTTTTCTCTTTTATATACTGAACAAAGACTGGAGTCAGATGCATGATCACACATCTCTTAGTTTACACTAATAATACCATGCCCTTGTCCACAGTTGCTTAATGGTAACTAAGGTTGAGGGATTTGTGGCTCTTACTGAATTGTTAGGCAATGATTTCAGGAAGGAGCAGTTGAATATGACATGGCGGGTATATCAGAAGAGGCTTCTCCTCGTAAACCTGTGGACCAGGTATTATTCATTCATATGTTTCTTCTCTGAAAATTGACTAATGTATCACATGGAAAATAGATGCAATATAAGGTTGTTCACAATACAGCATGTTGTGGAGGATATAAAGGCGAAATCAACCTCTTCTGAGGATTCGTCAACAACTGGCTTTGAAAATGATGGTGCCACTGAAAAGGAGGATCGACATGAGGCAAAGATAGTGGTAATTTATTGTTTCTGCTTGCATACTTGCGAAAGGCCATTATATTCTCAGTTTAGCTCTCTGAACTTTCGATACATTTTTCCGAGCATCTCTGCTATGACAGATTGGGGACTAGAGAAATTCTGTGTTTTTTTATTCTGACATCCAATTTATCCTACCTTCATATGGACAGGAGGATGTTACATCTGAGAAGACTGAGGAGTTATCAAGGGATGAGTTGGGGCGTCTTGTTGCCTCTCGTTGGACAGGAGAGAAATCTGACAAGAAGTCTGAGGCAGTGGATAGTGCGAAAGCTGATGATCGGGAAAGCCATGAGCATGTGTCCAGTTCACATGAAGAGGATGATGGTTTTGTTTCTGATGCTGATGATGATAGTGGCAATGATGACAAATATAGAAACCATGATTCAGAGGATGATGCCTATGAAGAGGAATATCACCACGATCACGATGATTCTAGTTCCTCCTATAAATCTGATGTAGACAATGATCTGAATCTAGCAGGTTTGGTCTCTTTCGAACGATTTCTGTACTCTTCAGTGAGATTAATCTTCTCTCGTAGTAAGGGTGATATGATTTGAGTTTGTTTCAAACAGAAACAACTGTGTCAAGCCCATCTTGGTTGGATAGGATACAACAGACCGTCAAGACCATAATGCAAGCTATGAATTTGTTCCAAACTCCGGTAGACAAATCGGGTAATAACCAGTCCCAAGTAACATCAAAAGTGAGATTGTGTTTTCCTAAACGAGTCTGTTACTTTGTGGTATCCGTCTGCAGAGGCTGATCGCATACGCAAAGAATACGATGAGTCCAGTTCAAAACTATCTAAGATGCAGTCAAGGATCTCGAGTTTGGAAAAGAAGCTTAAGAAAGACTTCGGTCTGTATGACAAAGACACCCGTTCCCTTCACGTATGTGTTCCTTTCCTCAAACAAGTCTCATGTGTTTCTCATTACAGGACCTGAGAAGGAGTTCTATTCATTCTACGGTCGTTGTTTTGAGAGCAAACAGGGAAAGTAAGGAAAATCTAAGAGATTTGATATCCTAGTTCTCTCTATGTTGAAGTGTTGCAATTTTTAGTCATGTAACCTTACCATTACCAACTAAATTCGTCTTAGGTATACTTACAAAGTCTGCCCGTACAAAGAAGCGTCACAGGAGGAGGGTTATTCGACAACTCGGTTAGGGTAGGAGAACAGTCCACTGTATCTTTTCCTGGCATCTCATCTGGCTTATCTTTCTCATATTGTGTATATTATAATAAGTTACTCGGATACAGAGTATAGGTTCAACGTCAAGTATATTTATTTGTTCTTCCTTGTGGGTTTTCTTGTGGGGTTGCTAATTAGGGAATGGGAGAAATTTGAGGACTCATATCGAGTCATGGCATTTTCAAACGGTGATACGTGCTGGAATGGTCCTGATAGAAGCTTGAAGGTAACCGAGAGATATCGCCCTTATCTGATGCTTATACAGCTACCACTTCCTGTTATTATATATACTGATGAAATCGTATAAAAAACGCATGAAATATCGAGAAACTGAAAGAGGGTTTTGAAGGGGAATGAAGAGTAAAGGCATGTAATTCTATTTGCAGGTGAAGCTAAGATGCGGATTGAAGAATGAGCTTATGGACGTCGATGAACCAAGCCGCTGCGAGTAATCTCTCGTCTCTTAGTCCTTACGTGGATCGGATGCCGTTCCTTTCGATTTTCTTACACATACCCTCTTGTCTTGTGGCAGATATGCAGCAGTGTTATCCACACCGGCCCGCTGTTTGGAAGAAAAGCTTAAGGTTAGTCTTCTTCCATCCGTCGGTCCATCCATCCATCCATCTCGGGTTTCTACTTCTCCATCTTATGACTCTCTTTAAATAACCAATTGATTTATTTATTTTTTTTGCATTGGTGTAAAATAAATGGGAACAGGAACTGCAACAAAAGCTCGAGCAGTTGAAACAAGAAGAGCCTCAGAAACACGACGAGCTCTAATCTTGAATTCGATATCTTAACATCATGCTCCGGTAATCTTTCGCTTTATATATTTATATTAATGTATTCATTTCGTCGTATTTTTACCAAAGTAGCATTGAGAGAATTATACCTTTGTGCGAATCGAATCAAATTCATCGAGGCTAACTAGTGACAAAAAAAAGGTCGTCTTTTCTTTGATAATTATGTATATAAACCCTCCCTAAACCATTCTCATGTAATTCAAAATTGGTTCTGATTAGAAAAATCACCCAAACCAAGAACTAAACCGATGAGATCGAGTTAGACCGAACCGGACCGGAGAGACAAAGGCTGATTTGAAAAACTGTGATTTGTCAACGTCGATTACGCAGTGCATTGGAGTTTACGTTGCGAAATCTAGGAACGTAGGTTCTAATTCCAGGGGCTTGTCAGACTTTGTCACTGCAAAAGCGGTCTATAGATACATATTTACATATACATAAGAATTGAGTATTATAATAAAATGGAAACCGGGACCATGGCACTAAACCGGTCAAACCACCTAGACATGACAACCAAACCTGCGGCACCCCTCGTCTTGCATTTCCTTCTCTCTTCCCCCTTTTTTGTGCCCTTTTTAACTTCATACGAAGGAAGAAAGAAATGTTGTAAGCATTCTCTGATTCTCTCTCTCTCTCTCTCTCTCTCTCCCCTATTGCCTTGTACTCCAAGCCAGATCTCTCTATAGAACCCCGTGATCGGCTCTTGTGTTCTATCTCAATCGGTTGTACTGTGATGGCGGAAGGAGGTGCTGTTGCGATGGAGCAGAGGCCCAAGACGAAGATCGTCTGCACGCTCGGTCCCGCTTCCAGATCCGTCCCCATGGTCGAGAAGCTTCTCCGCGCCGGCATGAACGTCGCTCGATTCAACTTCTCCCATGGTTCCCACGCTTATCACCAGGAAACCCTCGATAATCTCCGTCAGGCCATGTCCAACACTGGCATCCTCTGCGCCGTCATGCTCGACACCAAGGTCTCTCTCTATATATATACCTAACATCTGTTGCGTTTTCTTGTGATTTTGATCTCTGTCTCCTCTTTTCTGGTTGATTCGTTATTCGGTTAACGATCTGTCTCCGGTCTGGGTTTTCTAGGGTTATTTCTCTGGGTTTACTGTTCTTCTGTCACTTTTTTCATGTGTCCTGACAGCGATGTTTTTGTCTCTGTCTGATAAAAAAGCTTGGGTCTTTGCTTGTGTGCTTATCGTGTGCAAAGGGGTATCAGTTTCCTCGATGCGAAATGAGTGCTGGATTTTTTTTTTCCCGGTAAAGGTTTCTGGTGGTTTTGCTTTCAAGCTTTATGCTTTCTCAAAACTCCCAAGTGTTTTTCTCAATAATCTTAGATCTGATCTCGTCCCATATTAGCTCGGCTTTCTGGTATTGGATCAGAACAAATGGGTTTTGAAAGGGTTGAATTTTACGCAGCAAGCGACATGCACTTGTTGATTCAACTGTATTACTCGTTCCGATGTCCCCACAAAGGAATTGCTGTGCTGTCTTGATGTCAGTTCCTGTAATAATCAAGACAACTGTCCTGTGTAAGAAGATAGAGATCTATAGAAGATCTGTTACTGAAAGTTTTTTCTCTCTTTGTTGATTGTTTTATATATATATATATATATATATATATATATAGCCAGTGAAAGTTACAAATGCTGATGCTTACATTTCCCGTTTGATAGTCATTGATGTTTACCCAGTCGAATTTACCTCATCAAATCGAAAGTTACCCCATTTTCATGTAAAAGCCTTCAGCTTGGTTAGGTTTAAACCAGCCTGGTTGTGCTTGACAGGGTCCAGAGATTCGAACCGGATTCTTGAAGGATGGAAAACCTATTCAGTTGAAACAAGGCCAAGAAATCACCATATCCACCGACTACGAACTGAAAGGCGACGAGGACATGATTTGCATGAGCTACAAAAAGTTGGCGGAGGACGTCAAACCGGGAATGGTGATTCTCTGTGCCGACGGTACAATCTCGTTGACCGTCCTGTCTTGCGACAAAGAAAACGGTCTGGTCCGTTGCAGGTGTGAGAACTCTGCCATGCTTGGTGAGAGGAAGAACGTAAATCTCCCTGGTGTTGTCGTGGATCTTCCGACGCTGACCGAGAAAGATAAGGAAGATATTCTTGGATGGGGAGTTCCCAATCAGATCGACATGATTGCTCTGTCTTTTGTCAGAAAAGGGTCGGATCTTGTCCAAGTCCGGAAGCTACTCGGGAAGCATGCCAAGAACATTCTTCTCATGTCAAAGGTAATGCATGTTGTTTATGTTTCCGGAGTTCACTGAACTCTGCAGTAGGGGTGGACAATTTGGTTAATAACTGAATTGAATAGCACGTAACCGTAATCAAACTGAATTTGATATAAAAATCGAATAGTTATGATTCCTCTTAAACCGAAACCCGAAATGTTCATCCCTACTTTGTAATATCTTATCTTTCTTTGTTTTGACGATTTCTTATCAGTCTTTTTACTTTCGTGTGAATGTTTGATAGGTTGAAAACCAAGAAGGTGTGGCGAATTTCGATGACATCTTGACGAACTCGGATGCGTTCATGATAGCGAGAGGAGATCTCGGTATGGAAATCCCAATCGAGAAGATATTCTTGGCGCAGAAGGTGATGATCTACAAGTGCAACATCCAGGGAAAACCTGTGGTCACGGCTACTCAAATGCTGGAATCCATGATCAAATCGCCCCGACCCACGAGGGCCGAAGCCACGGACGTCGCCAATGCGGTCCTTGATGGCACGGACTGTGTAATGCTCAGCGGGGAAACGGCGGCTGGAGCATATCCAGAGCTAGCCGTCCGTACAATGGCCAAGATTTGCGTCGAAGCCGAGAGCACGATCGATTATGGAGACGTATTCAAGAGGATCATGCAGCACTCGCCGGTACCGATGAGCCCGCTCGAGTCACTCGCCTCCTCGGCAGTCAGGACCGCGAACTCGGCCCGAGCCACGCTCATTCTGGTCCTAACCAGGGGAGGAAGCACGGCCAGACTCGTTGCCAAGTACAGACCGGGCATTCCCATATTGTCGGTCGTGGTTCCGGAGATCAAGACCGACTTGTTCGACTGGTCGTGCAGCGACGAGTCGCCGGCAAGGCACAGCCTCGTGTTCCGAGGCCTGGTCCCGGTTCTGTACGCGGGGTCCACGAGAGCATCGCACGACGAATCGACCGAGGAGGCGATCGAGTTCGCGACTCAGTACGGGAAACAGAGGCAGCTCTGCAAGACCGGAGATTCTGTCGTGGCTCTACTCCGTGTGGGTAACGCTTCAGTGATCAAGATCTTGACCGTTAAGTGATTTCTCGACACACACAAAAAAAACACGAGTTTGTGTTTCAGCGTCGTTGATTTTCTTGAGACATAAACTCAAGTCTACGCGATTTTATATATTTTAAGAAATCAATATTTATTCACACACGGTTATGTTTTGATGGTATGTTATATATAATGCAGTGGATGGATATTCACCTTCTTCTTCTTCTTCTTCCCGTGCGTACGTGCATGCATGCATAATATGCATTTTACTTTCCGTAAACATTCATAAACATGAAAACAAACACAAAAGGCAAATCCCTCCAATATTTTTCATCGATCTGAAAGAAAAGACAACCAGAAGATTATATGTACATAAGCTTAAGAAACAGCAGAAACAAGACAGAGAGCAAGGACAAGAACATGAACAAACAAAAACCCGGTTTGGTTCTGTGCTTTGAGTTGTTTGTTTCTCATCCACGAGAACCGGATGATCCCGAGAAAGAGTTGTTGTTTTCACCAGGCTGTGATCCTGATGAGCCAGATGATGACGACGACGAGAATAACCCGCTGAAAGGCCACGGGAACGAGAATCTTCTTCCGTTCCCGTTCTCGCTCCCGTTCCGACCTTCTTCTTCATCTCCTTCCACATTATCACTGTTTCTACTTCTATTTTCTTCCATGGCTGTGGTTCTGGTTATGGCTCCCGGTTGTAGTTGATCGACCTTTGTCTCATCAGCAAGAACAGGAAGCTCGTACCGACATACCGGGCATGAGCTATGGAGCTCGAGCCACGGTAATATACACCGGCTGTGATACTTGTGCTTACACGGCATCTCCTTTGCTTCTTCTCCCTTCTCAAAATCGTCCAAACAGACCGAGCATTGCAATGGCTCCGATATTTTCACGTTTGGCAGAGCCTCCACTGCTTCTTTTCCGGCAGGAGGTGTCCCCTGCCTGTTCGGGTCGTTTTCAGACAGGTGCTGGAGCAAAAGGTCTAACCCTGGTCCGGTGAAGTAATCTCCAAGTGATGTTAGAGGAGGACTCTGGTTTCGGTTTTGGTCAAACGGGCTGATCATGATAACTCTATCCCTATCACGACCATTCTCGGTGGTCTCATACTCGGATGCGATCCCTGCCCGGATTCCCTGAAGCAACTGCAATATGGTAGCTGAGCTTCTTCTCCGTCTCCTTAGGATAGACTCAAATTCCCTGTCCAAATCAATCTCTTCTCCATGCCGACGGGCACGATGATGATGATCATTGGTACCATTTCCATGATCATGATCATCATCGTTATCATCATTTTCTTCACCGAATTCCACTCTCCTAAACCTCCTACGCCTCCGGGGACTGCTCATCATGCCGAGCAAGATCGGGGCCCAGAGAGACATGGCATTGTCTGAACCGAAACCCGAATCCCGGTCTTGAACGTTTGTTAGGGTATTACCATTGTTACCACTCATCTCCTCCACGAACCCGCTTTGGCAGAATGGGCATTTGATCTCCGCCTCCATTATTGGATTCACCATCTGAGAACACATATGACACCAATACCTAGCTGCCATTGCCTCCTCCATATCTCCTTCCCCAAACTCTCTCTCTCTCTGGATTCTTCCCAAAGAAAAACACAAAAGCACGCAATCAAACAGGATGAAACCCTAGAAATTTCTACCTCTTCGCGCATCTCCTAAGAACCGAAGTTTCGAATGAATTTCAACAGATCTGAGTCAATTGTATCCGAAATGAGAAACCTAAAACTCTGTCAATAGATTATAACAAGATCCAGACAGGAACATCATAGGACCAAAAAAAAATCAGCTTCTTACACATAAAACCCACCTAAAATTGAGCCAAAAAACACAAACCTGATGAACCCAGAACCTTGTAAAGGATCAAACAGAAAACCCTAAATAAAGGACACAAATTTATTTAATTACTTCTGTACATGAAAGACTCCAAGATCATACCTTGTAGATATTCTTCCTTTTTCTACCAAAAAAAATGAAACTTTCTTCCGCTCGATCCCCCCTTAGAAGCGAACCGCAGAATTTTTTTTTTTTTTTTTTGAGGGTCAGAGAAATGGAGGAAAAAAAACAAGAGAAAGACGAAGGAAGGAAGAAAGAGTGGAAGGAAACAACAACCCAACCACGTCCTCTTGTTCTCCCTCCCTCCAACCCCACTCTCCCCTATTCTCTAACTTTGTCCCTTTTTTCTCTTAATTAGGGTCTAAACAGATCTTATTATTAAAGACTTTTTTTATTAATTTAGGCTTAACTTTTTAATTCCTGATTTAAATTACTTTGGATTGTGGTTGTTTCTGCGCCCATTGTCTTAGTTTAATAATTCAGATTTAATCTTTAGTTTGTTGGTAATAAAACCAACAATTTGGATCTTAGTGGAATTTCACCGTCCGACATTATAATAATTCCTTGTCTGAATTATTAAAAAAAACTATAATTATTATTTACATAATAAATATTAAAAAAAAAGTGTTCAATTTGTCGTCAAATGTCAAATATAAGGGCAATACTTTAGCCCATTAAGCCCAAGCATGTGATATCGGCCCATCAACGCTAAAAACCTGAATGCGAACCGGAATCAATTTGGCGAATTGAACCGAAACGAACCGGAATTGATTTGATAATTGAACCGGAACGAATCGGAACTAAAGTGTCTCGGAGTCGAAGGGGGAGGCACGGTGGGAAATAGGAAGGGGGCAAAAGGCAATTTCCGACGATGAGCGAAGCAGAGGCAACTAGCATCCCGGAAGATTCAGTTCCGGTGGTGGATAAGCCAGAGGTCGAGGTGATCGAGGCTACGGCGGAGACGGCTGTTGGAGGAGCTGAGAGATGGGTGGAGGATTTCCAACGGACTGTGAAGGAATCGACGGATTCCGCCATTCGCTCTGCTCGCTCCCTCCGCAACAACTCCTCCTCTCATTTTCGCTCTCTTCAGGTATCTCTCTTGTTCTCTTTTCTCTTCACTTTGCGATTCGTTTGGTCATTGGAATGGTTATGCGATCAAGTTTTTCAAATTGGGATTCTCCGGGATTGCTTTCAGGATTGAATCTCATGGTCTATTGTTTCGCCAAAGGAATTTATCGTGGGCTTTAGCTTATGATAACTCGTGTAGTTCACAGATATTGGCATGTTGAGAAATTGTGCATCTGCGAATGTATATGGTGAGATCATATTATCTAAAGAACTAGAAATGCAATGCGATACAGTCCTACGAGTTGGGGATTCGTTTCCTTTTTCCCTGTGGAGTATTTGTTGTTTTGGTTTGGAGCAATGTATTGCTCGCAGATTGCGGATCATGCCCTCTTTTAAACTCTTTGCATTTTGTTTGTTGGTTCCGTGAAATTTTCTCTATGCCCTTCTTATAATTTGTTGTATCTCTTTACTCCTTCATGTAACTGTGAATTAGATTTTCCATCTCAGCTAAAACTAGATGTTCTCTTGACTTATCAGCTGTTCGTGTCGCATTTGCCGTTGCTGAGATCACAGTTGTTTTTCCCACATAGCTTTCCCATCTCCTGGATGATCATGGTTTATGTACTGCTGCCTGTTAATTTTTGTTTCTGCATTCTCAGGATTTCATTCCACATGCTTTGGTTCAATACAAGACTTATGAGAATGCTTTCTTCAGCAAAGTTACAGGTAACTTGCAAATCTTTGGATTTGTTTCTGAAATTTTTAAGGCTTATGTTCATGTAATGTCCGTCTTTCTGCTATTTTTAGTCTGGAAAGCTGGTGTCCAGTGTGGTGAATAGCTAGAAATCCTAATGGATATGTGACAGTGTTGGTGGTTCTAGCGGTCAACTTCTTTGATCCAATAATGTGTTCATGATAGTGAACTACAAGTTTCTCGTCAGCCAAATAGTTTTCATCCATGAGTGCTTCACTTTAAGCGCTCTGATGTGTATTGGTAACAAATCCTGAATTCTGTGTATTATGTACAACTGGCAATCATCTCCTGATTTTTCCTCGCAGAAGAGTTGACAAATGCAAAGGACCACCCAGCTGCTACTGTTGGGCTTGGAGTTGCAGCTGGTCTCCTTCTTATGCGAGGCATGACCTCCCTCCCCTTTTTCATCTTTTTGACTCTGGACAAATATGCTAAAGTTCCCTTGTTATTATCAGCTCGCATACAGCAGATATCCTTGCTAAACATATTTTACCACTTAAACCAATACAACTCTTGTCTAAATCGATTTTCTACATATCCTGTTGTAGGCCCTAGAAGGTTTCTGTTTCGCCAGACCCTAGGTCGGTTTCAGAGTGAGGAGGTATGGATCATGTTACTGAAATATTGGGAAAAAAATTCCATGGATTCATGTTTCATCTGTGTTGCTCATTCTTATGAATGATATGCAGGCACGATATCTGAAAGTTGAAAAGAACGTACAAGAGTTGAATATGACAGTAGATTTGATGAAAAAAGAGAGCAGGAAGTTGCTAGAGAGGGCAGCTCTTGCTGAGAAAGATATGAAACGTGGCCTCTCTGAGCTGATGTATGCCAAAACATAGATAGCCCACGTTTAAAAATTTATTTGAACTTTCTGCTAATATAGCTACTATTGGTCATAATCATAGGAGCTCCGGGTGTGAGGTGCAACGTCTTGCAAAGTCCGTTTACAAGGTTGAATCCCAAGCCACAGGTGAGAAATCATTGTCCATTATTTTGCATATCTAGAATCACAGTCGGTTCCAACTTGATTGATGACATTGAAGTCTACATTCTCTCTTCACATATGTTGAGTTGGCCAGGCCTTGTACGGACTTTCTTGATGTCATGCATCTGATCGCTTAATGCTGGATTTTTGTTATCTGCAGATTTAATGGACGTACTAAGGCAAATTTCTGGGAGGGATGCTCTGAAGCTTAGAGCCGAGGTTGAGTCAAAAACTTTTAAGCTTCACAACTAACAATTTTCAATCAGATCGCATAGCTCATTGATTACTCCTGGTGATAAATTAGGTGGCTTCCATGGCATCGATCTTGAGACAGAAGAGGATTGCCCTGAACAAAAGGATCATGAAAATCTCGGAGTTGGGAGTTCCTGTGTAACAGGACACGTTCACAATCTCACTTCATCACCGTGAAGCTTATTCCCTGGAACTATCGGTTAACACCTCTGTCAGAGACAAGAATTCCTTTTTAAGGCCTTTGAATTGTTGAGAACCATGCTTTTGGGCACGGAAGAATAACTTTTATTGCTGTTGTTTGGAAATATTTCTGGTTCTGTTCCTCAGCCTTTCATTGGAATAATAACAGTTTCTTCTAATTCTATGCAGTGGAGTCGGAGCATGATGAATTCAATTGACACTGTTATCTTTGCTCTACGATCTTAACAGGAACATAATGAACGTAGCATTTCCCCATTCAACACCCAAATGGTGCTAGACATTACTACTTTGGTCATGGGAAGACACAGAAACAGGTAACAAAAGAAGATCTGATTCTCTTTTTTATTTCAGTTTAGCAAAATACAGAAACAGAGGAAGACACAAAACCAAACAAGGATTAGTGGGCGGGTGAACACAAAAAACCCCTCTTTTTCACCCATTTGGTTCATCACTGCCTGAAACAACCCAACACGCAGACGATGCGCTCAGATTGCCCCTTTTTACTTAGACCCATCACAGCCCCGGCTCATTACAAAAGCAGTCGGAAGCAAAAAAAACGAAAACAAGCCCTTGAGAAAACAACATTAGGCCTTTTGCCGTAGTTAGAAAGGTTATCATAGTTTTTCTTTTGATTGTATTATAGGGTTATGTAGATGAATCCAATCAGCGAGAAGCTAGCTTTAAGGACGGAACTGTCTTCCGGAGTAGGTTTGGCCGAAACTCCAGTTCGGAGGAGCAACATTGTTGGAGACAATGGTTTTGCCATCACTAGTGGTGACCTTGAAAGAGAGGGCTTGACCGTCGAGGTAAGAGTTGCTCTGCCAGTTCTGGCCCCAGTTCCGGGACATGCTCTGCCACCCGGTCTTGGTTCCTTTGACGGAAGCAACCACTACATCTCCGGCTCCTCCCACGTTGGTTATGAGCACAAGGTTGAAGTATGAGTGACCATTTATAGTGAACCTTATCCCTCCCTTTCTCCTACAAGACAGACATTTTCAGGCTTGGTCTCGGGTCGAATATTTGGGATTTTGAGGGTATTCTGTCTCAGTTTCGGTCTCACGGGTTTTCTAGAGACATTCAATCTCAGTCTCACAAGATTTGGGTACGCGCGAGACTGTATACGCGAGATATCCCATCTAAAAATAATAGAATTCGAGCTCGAATCCGTCTACAGGATTTCTCGTAGCATCGAACTCGATATCAGACAGTTACTCGAAAACTCGAGGATCTCGGGTAAAAACGTCCACCCCTAATGTTCACGACATGGGAATGTTAAGAGAACGGTGTTGGGAAACGTACCTCCGGTACTGGACAGGGACGACACCGGCTTTGTATTTGGCGATACGGAGGAAGACGGGCTGAGAGAGATCGAAATGGTGCTGAGGAGGGTTGCACCATCCACCACCATTGTTGGGTAGAGCCAGGTTTGGTGGGCAGAAATTGGTACCGGTCACAGTGATGGTTCCGCTCAGGCACCATTTCGGGTCGTTTACACAACGGATCTGGAAACAGGCACCGCAGCTCAGGCCGCCGTTGAACAGAGCCGTGCTCATTGCCGCCGTGTTCGTGCCATAGCCTTGGCTGTACAAGTTGCTGTACCCACATGCACCCCCTGTATGGACGGACCAGTGGTGGGTTGGTCAGAATCAGAAAGAGCGGATATATATATATATATATGTATGTGTGTATGAGATTTTTACTTACCCATTGTGCCTGAAGCATCACCGCCTCCATAAAATGTTGCTCGAGCGTCGGTCCATCCACTGCTGTAACAGTTCACACCTTTCCATACCATGGTTAGAGCCATTAGCACAAACCCTACCACTCCCATTTTTCCTGGCCCTGCTCATGAAAAAAAAAATATGAATCTTCTTAGTAAGAAAACTATTCCATATGAATGTGTGTGTGTGTGTGTGTGCATGTTGAGAGAATAAGAGAATGGGAGAATGGAACTTACAATGGCTTGAAAGAAGAGTGACCCCCAAACAAACAAAAAAGGCCAAAAAAAATTATAAAAATAGAGAAGAAGAGGGTGAAGTTACTGGGTGTGGAAATGGGATGGGGGCTTATATAGAAGCCTCTGCTGTAGAAATATTATTTTATATAATAATTAAATTGATTTTTTAAAAAAAATATTGCAACTGTGGTCGCAAGTGTAAGTACATTACAAAATGTTTAAAAAAGTACCTTAATTAAATGGGTACAGCACATCTTGCTGTATATTATATATATAATTAAAGAAAATTTCATACGGTTTTGTGAAATGATATATACTACACTATAATAATAATATCCAAATTTATTAAATTGGGTTTAGTTTTTTGATCGGGAACCTCACCAGATGGGGCTAGGTTGACCATTTGACCTTGTATTTCCAAAGTCAACCCAGTTAAGTTTTCTTTTTTACGTGATTCAATAAATTTTCTAAGATTTCATTTTCTTTTTTATTTTCTGCACCGTCAATAAGAAACAAATAAATTAATTTAGTCCACAAAAGCGGAGTCAAACTCAAACATGTGAATGCGTGGCTTGATTTATAAGATTCATTAACTGAAAACCGTAGAAACAGAACAGATTCTTTCCTGCAAAACACAACACATGCCCCTATTTTCCAAAGCAAAACTAAATAAATAATTAAATAAATAAATTACTATAATATTTTCAGTATATATATATATATATATATATATATCAGGCGAATCTTTTGATGTGATGGGTCTGAACAAATTGATGATATGATATTGTGACCTCAATTTCAGGATCCTACTTGCTCCTTGCCCATGTGCCTCAATCGTCTTCGTTACGGTTTGTTCTCCTATTATTCATTTCCAAAAAGTTGTTCTGATTAATCAATTGCTTACAAAAATTTAAAATTTTCATCATCTTAATATCACCTAACAGTCTATATATATATATATATATATATATATATAGAGAGAGAGAGAGAGGGGGCC